GGAGCAAGTATATACTGTATATTTCTAAATAGCTACAGGACAGGACTTTGACTGTTCATACCACAAAGAAATGATAGATCTTTGAGGGATGAATATGCTAATTTTCCTGATTTGATCATCGTACAATGTATTCATGTATATACCTTATACAGCACTGCAAATATGTACAATTATCACATGCCAATTAAAAATTAAAAATTAAAAAGTGAGCCAGGCATGGGAACACACATTCTGGGAAGCTGAGGCAGGAGGACTGCAAGTTCAAGGCCAGCTGGCAACTTGGCATGACCTTGTCTCAAAATAAGGAACACAAAGGCTGGGGATGTAGCTGAGTGAAGTTCCTGGGTTCAATCTCCAGGGCCAAAAAAATCGCGAAGCACCTAACGCCAGTCAGGGCTGAGATCTCTATTTCTAGCCAGAAACAGGAAGGGCAGCGCTCTGGTTAGCGACTTCTCTCCCTCTGCACTGGGAGGGATTTCTGGTAGAAGATGCTGGGGAAGACAGTCATGTTCAGTAAGGTTTCCTGAACACCAGCTGCCCAGGTAGGCAGGTCAAAACAGGGGAGACATGGTCCACACACAATCTAGCGGGAAGGAAAGTTGCGCCTGGAGACTTCAGGTGCACAGTAAATGGCTTCTCTCATTGTATGTGTTAAACGCCATGGATGTATCCACACTTGGTGCGTCCTGGGAAAGCCAGATGAGTAAGCTACGGCTCTGGCCACAAGGAATTTACTGTGCCAGGAGCAGGCCTTAAACAAACATTCCTCAGTCACTAGGGTAAAGGCACCATGAGCTCGTTCCCTTCCAGAATGCAGAGCTGGGAGGGGAGGGATAGCAGGGATGTGCAGAGCCACCTCTGAGAGGGTCCTGGAGGAAGAGGAACGAGGCTGCAGGCAGAAAGAAGCTCTTGTGTATCACCCAAGGGCAGACAAGAGCAAGGAGGGTCCTCGAAGGCCAGACAGGTGCAGCGTGGGGTGGGGTGGGTTGGCGCTAGGACCCCGAGGACCTTGAGAGCTGAACTGACCTGGGGTGGGGGGCGCAGGCTCAGGAAGAGGAGCATGGTGATTGATTTGCATGTTAGAAAGATCAGGGCAGTCCATGGGGGATGGATGGAGACCAGCTGACCATGAAGGTGACTGGCAGAACTGTCTGGGGAGCGGGGAGGAAGCCCGGATGGAGGTGCGGCAGGCGGAATGCAGTGCAGCGGGAAGTGTGGGCTTATCTGGGTGACAGACTGGACGTGACTGATGATGCAGAAGAGGGAGAGGAGGAGTGGCCCGAGGGCTTCCAGTCAGGGTAGATGATGGAGGAGATTCAGTGGAATCAGATGCCACAGATAGAGCAGACTGGAGGCGAGAGCAGAGCAGGAGCTTGGGGTTACACTGTGAGGCCTCTAAAGATGTCTACACAGACAGGAAGGGTAAGTCATTGGGAAGATGGGGCTGTGGCTTCCTGTAGAGGGAGGTGGCATTAGTCATATAGATGATGGTTGAATCATAGGGAGTCTATGCACAGGAGGTGAAATGAGACTAAGCAGCCAAGGAAGCCTAGAGAGTAATCAAGAGAATTGGAGGATGGTTAAGAAACTGCTCCAGGGAGTGAAGTCTTTCAGATGGGGGAGCAGTTAGTGAAGGTACAGGCTGCAAATGGGCCACTGAGGGCTGTTTGGCACATGCTGGTAAACCCAGCACTCAGGAGGCTGAGGCAAGAGGGTCGAAGTAAGTCTGAAGCCAGCCTGGGCTACATTGGGAGACTCTGTGTGAACAAACCAAAGCAAAACCTAAACCCAGGTGGTAGTGAGGGGAATAGGAGGAGGAGCGATGTCCCTACAGAGTAATGCAGGTCCTGGGCCATTTCCTTTCTTTCCTCGGCAGGGGAGGCTTAGCACCCTGCTTCTCAGGGAGGTCAGACTGAGCGCACCACAGGGGCCGGGGAGCCTGGGGTTCTCGCACCTCTGGGCTGGAGATGAAGAGCATGCAAATGAGCACCTGGCTGTGAGTCAGCGCAGAGCAACAGGCTGCGGCCGCTGCCGCTCTGACCCGCGTGCACGCAGCCTCCCGCCAGCCCAGGGCAGCCTCCGCGCCCCCGACCCCGCCAGTGCCGGGGGTTACAACCCCGGGTCAGGCCGGCTGCTGAGATCAGCACACCTGCCTCCTCACCACCTGCCCCCTGCCCGCCAGTCACACAGTCGTTCAGAAACCGCTCCCTCCACTGTTAGGGTACCAGGCTGGGACGACAAGGACAGCCCTGAAAACAAAGGCAAACGTCACGATTCACGTTCAGCTCTGCAGCCGCCTAGGAGTGGATGAGCGGCTGTCTGTCCCCACCAGGGACGGTGTCCCCAGGAGCCAGGCAGAAGCCTGCGCGTGGCTCGGGTCAGAGCAGAGGCAGGTCCAGAACCAGCTCCGGGAACCGGCACCGGGAGGGACTGCCCTTTGCTGGGCAGCACTGCTAACTCCAGCAGGGCCCAGGACACTTGACAGCCACAGCTCCTGGCCTCCTCCCAGCGCCTCTGAGATAGTGACTTGCTGAGTGACTCACTGGACCCCCTCATGCCCTCTCCATACACGCTCTTGACTGCCTCGACCTCTGTTTCTATACAGAGCCGGAAGTCGTCCTGCAGCACTCCCGCCATGATGTTGGTGGAGGCCACCTCTCTGGGACTCCTGGGCTGTTTGCGTTCCTGCAGATTGAGCCAGGGTGTGTGTGTGGGGGGGGGGGGGTCCAAGTCCGCCTGTGGCCTAGGTTTTGGGGTCTGATAGTTCATTGTCCTGCAGACCTACAAGGAGGCCCAAAATGATGCAAGAGAAGGCAAAACCACTTTGGGGAGGAAGCCGAGGTGGGAGGCCGAGTTAGCATCGTTATTGTGACGTGGATAGTTCGAGAATCACAGAAGGATCCCAGCCTTAGACATTTTCTGTAGCAAAAGGAGCCCCTGCTAGTTCAGACCAAGGCACGGATTTGCTCTGTATTACTCCACTGATTATTTTAAAGCAGAACAGGAAAAAAAAAGAGAAAGAAAAAAGAACCAGAAGAGTAAAGAAAAAGCAATTCCCAATGCCTGGGCCAGAGTAGAGTAACCACCATCTAAACAGCTGTTACATGGCTGCTGCTTGTTCCTGTTAACTGCTTGAATCAAGTTCAAGGCCTGGCAGGGGAGGTGTTCTGGCTGGCTTAGCAAGGAGCGAGACTTCAGAGGTGGCCACCACAGATGGCAGCGGATGTCACGGAGCTCGCAGCAGAAGCCGCCAGGGATGCCAGCTCTCAGAGCTAAGCAAAAAGCTGAGAAATACTCAGCCAAGTCAACTGCCAGTTACATACCCCAAGCATCCCAGAAAGCCAGGGCCAGTGTGAGAGTTGCTTTAATTAATAGCTTTCTGCTCTCTTCACCCAAAAGTATGTTGGCCCATGGCTGTTCAGAGCTCTAGCATGTCAGCTCCGAGCATCTCTGCCCTCACCCAGCATGGCCAGCCAGGCAAAGGGGCAAAGGTGCATGATTTGTAACCCCAGCACTGACTGTCTGGTCTAGGATTTGGAGCGACAGTCATCATCTTGCAGTGCCCACTGCTCAGTTCGTTCTAGTACAGTACCGGGCAGTGGGTGCCAGTGTAGACTCGAGGCCCACAGCTTGGGGATGAATAAACATCTGCTGTTGGCCAAGCACCATGCTGCTAGTTACTCAGCCACTGGGACCCACAGTGTCCCCATCTGTTAATGGGGAGAATAGCGCCTGTCCACAGGGTGCTGGGACAGGGGCACCTGGTATTTCACATAATGCATCTGCAGTGTGCCCTGCACCAAGTGCTTGAAGAATTGTTAGGTGAATGCCTATAGTTGCGGTCCCTCCACATCCCATGCATTTCAACATCTCGTGGTTGTAACTATTAGGAAGTCAGTCTGCACTGGGCTGCAAATAATCTGCAGGGTTGCGAACTCAGAAAAGCTATTATAAAGTACTTTATATTGCTTTTTTATTATTGCTTTTATTATAAAATTATTTATGTCATGTTAGGAAATTGTGTGAGTAATCTCAGTTGTCCAAGGTAATTTTTTCTTTTCCATTAGAACCCCATGTGTTACTCAAAATCAGAGTATCGATTTATTCTACCACACCTTTATCAGTTAGAAACCAACTAATGAAACTTTTTTCCATTTCTTTTCTTCAGGGAAAGACAGATTTGGTAAGAAGTCTTCCCCAAAGCAACATTTGGAAATACACTGGGCTAGACATACACATTTAACTCAATCACTGTTTTCTGTATTTACTTTTTCAGACATCAAATGATGAGGGTCAAAATACCAGTTGTGTCCCATGTGACTCCCATAGATTGAAATACGCTGTTTTCCAGGGCAGAGAACAGGCCGATGTCGTTAAGAATCCATCATCCGAGTTTCATTTTCTTGTTTGCACAGGAGAGGAAACCAATGGAGAAAACTGCTCAGGACATGCAGGTGCTGGGACCAGAAGGGGCTACAAAGGCAGGATGATGAAAGACGAGGGACAGAGTCCCCCACAGGTGACCTCCAGAAAGCTCACGGGTCTGGAGCTGATCACCTACAGAACGGGGATCCCGTACCCACCTGGCTGGACTGCTCAGCTCAGTCCACACTCTATGAAAATAAAGTGCTTTATAATACTCAAAATGAGTTTAAAAATTGATTATGGGGAGGATGGATGAAGAGATAGGCACAGAGGATTCTTGGGGCAGCAAAACTCTTCTGTCTGTTGAGTCAAGTCCTGTGTTTACCCAAAGCCAACGATGTACGATGCCAAGGGTGAACCCTCACGTGAACTGTGGACTTGGAGTGATCACGATGTGTCCACGTGGCTCACCCATGTGCCGCTCCGGTGGGAAATGCTGACAATGAGGGTGGCTGTGCATATGCGTGGGGCAGCAGACCCGAGGGAAACCCCTCCACTATCTACTCGGTTCTGCTATAAAAATAGTCTATTAAAACTGATTTCACACACACTGCTGAGATGGGCTCTGCCAAATGTGAAAATTTAAGAAATTTAACTCTTTATTTAACACCAAAGCTAATGTCAAGTGTTTATTTAAAAAAATAATGGCACCTGCTTTGAATTCATTGATGACACCACCACATGGTCAAGCTCTATGGAGGAATTACAATTTTAGGCTGACATGAAACTAGGCAGTATCTTACAAAATAGAAATTCTGCAGCAGATGTCACAACCAACACTCCAGCTCCTACTTTGAGAGCTGCTATTGCCTAAATGTATCTTTGACACATAGCGCGTTTTGTTGAAAGGTTTCTCTTAGGACAAACACAGCAGACATGCTTTAAATAAATTAAAACTGCAAAGCAGAAATCATTCCTAAAACAATCAAGGTACATGACTTTCGTGCTTTTTTTTTTTTTTTTTTTTTTTTGGAGACAGGGTCTCACTTTGTAGTTCAGGCTGGCCCTGAACAATGTAGCCCAGGTTGGCTTTGAACTCAGAGATCCTCCTGCCTCAGGCTCCCAAGTGCTAGGATTATAGGCATGCACCACCACTCTTGGCTTTGTTTCTTATATCCAGAGAACTGCATTGACTTCAGAAGATGGTAGGTCAGTTCTGCTTTTTATCTTATAGGTTACTAAACTCCTACTAACTATACTTTTTGTTGTTACCTTTTTTCAACCTACTCTTGAGGTAAATAGGGCAATCTCATCTTTCTCAGTGATTTATCTTTTTAGACCCATTCTCTCCTTAGTCATGTGTAACCTTCTTGAAATAGCTCTCTCTAGATAAACCTTTAATTCTAAGTAATGCCTCTAAATTAAAGAAATATGCAAAATAGGCCATTTAATCACACAAGTCCTTATTAATAAGTATATTTCAGTGTTTTCCCCAACCAATACAACTCTATCTGGATTTAATACGAAAATGCTCCCATTCAGTGCAAAATAATTTGGTGTTTAGAACTCAACCAAAAAGGGCAAAAGTAATTAGTTGCCTGAGGGAGACTGTTCCCTCCCAGTTACTGAACCTATAATTAGGCCTGATATGCTACAGAGGTGGGGGCATAAATACACAGACAAGGGCAACATTTAAAGGAAAGAACAGTGACAGCGCTGGAAAGGCTTGAATGCTGGACTGCGGATTGACAGAGGGCAGCACAGCACTGGCTGCAAGTGAAAGGACAAAAGGTCCAGGAGATCTTAGCCCACCAGCAGGCCACAGGGGTCAGGCAGGCAAAGCACTGACTCTGCAGGCCAGAAAGCTGGGAAGGCTCCGTGTCCTCTGCCCCAAACCAGTGTGGAGTGCAGCGAGCTGCCGCTTCACTGTGAGATCGGTTTTGCTTTTGTTTCTTGGGGTGGGGGGTCGGTTCTGGTGTAATCATACTCAAAATATGAGGTGAACAAAACCCACAAAGGAGTGTTTTAAATTTTTTTTTAATCCTCAACAAATTGTCATTTTCCTAGCGATCATGATAATAACATCACCAGAAAATCCAGTGCCAGAATCTTAATCATTCAATAATGTTCACAGGCTGACCAGGGGCGTATCCATCCAACTGGTTTTCATCTTTAGCCAAGCGTGAGATGTTTTTTGTTTTTGGTTTTGGTTTTGTTTTTTTAACCAATGAAAGGTGGGGAAAAAGAGATGAGTTGCTTAGATGTAAATTAAATATTCATTTCCAGGATATGTCACAGCTGTATCACTAGTTTTAATTGTATGTTTATAAAAATTTAATTTTGCCTTCTGCATTGAAGAGAACAAGCAGTAGGAGGTAGAGTCCCTAAGAAGAGAATAATAAACTGCAGAATAAGTCTCCTTGAAGTATATAATCTTCTTAAAAAGTAAAAAGCTTCAGGAACTTTCCACAAGACACTAAAGTAAATATGCCATGTAGGTCGTGCATATCCAAATGAAAACAAGGTTATCCCCAGCTAAAGAGTCAACAGACAGGAATTCACGATCCAGATCCAGCGGGATGGTTAGGGCTGAGACCCGCAGGGATTCGGGATTTTCAGAGGGAAGTGGTTTCTAGCAGGTTCTGCAAAGAGCTCCAAGCGCAGCAGGTGGAGGACGCTGCTTCCCTTTCTCCCGATGTTCTCTGGAGAAGACAGACTGACTGATCGTGGGCCTGAGAAGTATCAGCCAGAGCAGGGTTGGTAGGCCCAAAGGAGCGGGGTGACTTCCTACGTCCTTAACGGAGCACTGCACCTCAAGGGCTGGAAATCTCAGCCATCCTCCCCACACCCGCAGCAGCACCTACACCTATCCCAGGCACAGGCTGGGGTCACTTGGTGGGACCCCTGCAGACCAGCGTCTAAGTGATGGAATCGAATGCCCACAGGTCAGGGGCACGGTGGACTTGAAAATCTGGCACAAAAGCAGCACACAGTTCTTCTTCCCTCCCTCCCTCCTTTGATCTGGAGCCCTAACTGGCCCTGGGTTTGCTGGGTCACAGTGTGTAGTCAACTCTGGAGGCCACAGGAGTCTCCTGGGCAGGGACACGGCTGCGTGACTGCGGGGGGGGGGCGGGGTTCTCCTGGTTCCAAAATACTTTCTAACCACAGATTTCATGAAATGATGTTTATTATTTTAAAAAGCTGAAGTCTGGAATTAGATAGGGGTGATGTTTGAATGGTTTGTGAATTTACTACAACCACTGAATTGTACATTTAAAAAGAAAAGTTTGAGTTGTATGAATCACACGCATACACGCTGGGGTTGTACTAAACGCCCAACTCTTCCATTCTCTCACAGCATGGCACACAATGTTCATATTTCACGTCCCCAGTGTCCCCAGGGCATTGCCCTAAGAAAGCTGCTTGCAAAATATTGCACTTAATTTAAATCCAGGAGCCCTGACGTCTCCTGGAAGAAGAAAATGGACAGGAACTCGCGTCTCTACACCTTTGGTGAATGGTGGAGACCACAGGAGGGGAGGCCCGATCAGCAGCTTCCAAGATGTCCTCCTCCTCGTTATGAGCACAGAGAAGCCGGGCTGCGGACAGGCCACAGGCCCGAACGCTCCGATGCTTCCCCCAGTGGCAGCGCGCTCGGCCATCGCCCCGGGGACCTGTCCCCAAGCAATCCAAAGGGACAGCTGGCACTTCTGGGGCCAACCTCGGACCTAGTTCATCCCGTCCTGGCTGGCCTTTCTCATCACTAAGAGGAGCCTCTTCACCTCCGCCCGGGTGAATGTTCCCGCTAAGCTCATCCACCCCAAGCAGCCAAAAGCCCCATCTTCCTGCAGCGTTCCCACCTCGGTGCACATCAGCTTTATTAGAAACTACAATTCTGTTATTCTTCTTCGAGGAAAAAACTCTGCAACTCGAGCAGCACTGTTTTTCATTTCCCAGATCCTCACAGTGAAATACATAAAGTGAATCACATCTGCAAAGGGTTTTTTTTATCACAATCAAGGTTTGTCAAAACACAAACCTTGGGGCCGCGGATTTAGCTCAGTGGTTTCGCTGCCTGCTGCACAAGCGCAAGGACCCGAGTTCCATCCCCGGTACCAACAAAACAAAACAAAACAAACAACCTCCACAAACCTCGGAGTAGTTAGTGCTCACAGGACCCCGATTAACAAAGCCACAGCTGGGGGAGGTATGTACTGGAGGCGGGGCATTGCGACCAGAAGGATGAAATCAGGGGCGTGGCTCCCTGGGCATGAGAAGGGGGAGCCCCCTCCTAAGTCCTAGTGCCTTACACTTAAAGACTGGCTAGGTAACGGGTACACTGTGAGATTTCCGTGTGAGGCGGTCACACACAACTCACCAGGCGGAACACTGTGGACAGAACGAGGCTGAAACCTGCGAACAGCAGGGTGGACACAGAGATGCACACACTTCCGTAGGCCACAGTGCTCAGCGCTGCCGAGGTCTGTGCTTTCTCACTGCCGAATCGCATCACAACCTCGCGGTTTAAAGGACTCAGGGAAAACACCGACAACGGCGACCGTGAAGCTCGAGTGGGACAGAAGTTTAAGGGACTTGGGTAGGGGAGGCCCATTTTCTTCTGGGTCTCGAGCTGTGCCAAGTGCTCAGCAGACAAGGGTTCACCGTGCTGGGCTCATGGGGGGCAGGAAATCAGGCTGATTAAGGCAGTGAGCAAGGCAGGGTCAGCTCTGCACCAGCTTCCCATTAGCCAGGTACAGGACTGAGTCAACCGAACCACAGCTATTTACACCACACAGCTCCAGTCCCCATCCCTCCCGTCCACACAATGGGTCCACTGAAGAATTTGGTGATATGCACAGTTTCCTTTTAAACTAAAAACTCAAGGGAACATGAAGGCAGGAAGCAGTGGCTTCACCTCGGTATTATTATCCTCTCGATGGCACACAGAATATGGTCCCAGTTTTTACAGAATACGGCGAGGAGAGTCACAGCGAAGAAGGTGCCGAGGATGTGGAAGCGGCTCTTCATCATGGGCGAGACGAACTTGGCGATGGTGGACACGCACACCAGGATGACGGTCATGAAGGCCAGGACCACGTTGATGCACCTGCCCAGTAGCACCTTGGCGTTCACGGTGTCCGTCTGCAGCGTCTGCTGCTCCTGCTGGTGGAGCTCTAGCTTGGAGATGCGCGTCTGGCAGGACTCCAGGGCTTCCTGCGGGCGAGAGGACAGCGGATGAGATGCTGCGTGGCGCACGCTGCCTGATGTGCAGAAAGCCCCTGGCTCGGATCGCCCAACGCCTGCCCAGGGAGCTTCCAATGCCCACGCTCACGGTGACAGTGACAGAGGCATGAAACAGGGCCATAAGGTGCATGTGTCCTGTTTTCATGGACAGACTGAGCAGGTGCACAGTCAAATACCATCGAGCAGGAATTGCAGTTGTGCTTGCTGGCTCTGCCTATATCTGTAATACAGTGACACGAAACACTGGCCCCTGATGAGGGCTGGGGCTGCCATTTGTGTCGGCAGAGGGCCCCACCTTCAGCCATGGTGTCGCCGGATCCTACGGCCAGACCCCACCTGCCGGGTCAGAGCCCAGCACATCCACACGCAGAGGGAGAGGGAGGGAGGGGGCTGCACGGGCTGGGGCAGCTCTGTTTTCGCCACTCTTTGAGGCCGGGTTCCTCGGGCCACGTCCCTGGCCACCTCCTGTCCCGCACATTCTGAGGCTGTGGTGACTGAGACACAGCTTCTCAAGAGCACCCAAGGCACATGGCCAAACGTGCACTCGAGGGTGGAACCAGCCGGCCGCAGACAGCCCTGCTTCCCCACGGCCTCCCCTCCTCGGAAGGGTCAGCGCCTCACACCAGGGAGGTCCCATCACCCAGCTCCACTGAGGCAAAACCCAGGTCTTCCCAGCCACCCACTTCCTCCTCCCAGCCTCCGCCTGCGCCCCAGTCACCGCTGGCCGTGACCTTGCACAAATCCCCCTTTTGTGCCCCAACTCCATGAATCCATCTTCTGCACAGCAACCCAACTGATCTTTTAAGGTGCATATTCACGACACCCTTTTTCATAAAACCTCTCCCATCTTTAACATGCCTTTTGGAGGCCGAGTTCCCTTAAGGCAATTTCTTATTCCCTCACAGTCCTCTGTCCAAACTGGTTTTTTCCAAGCTTCAAAAAGAAACACAAACTCACCCCAGGACCCCTGCACACACAGTATGCTCTGCCCAGTTCCCACCTCTCCTCACCTGTTCATCTCCCACTCATCTCTCAGGTCTCACCTCCACTGTCGTATCCCGAGGGAGGTCTCCCCTCAGCCCTCGTTTTGGACCAGGAGGCACATATGCTGCATATGGACAGGACTAGGCCTACCTTACTGTCACTGTCCCCTCAGGCACAGAGCCAGTGCGGTGCTGCACACTGGCGGAATAGGAAAGAGACCGGGTGCCAGCAACAGGATGAGCAACAGGGAGCAGAAAGGCCCTGTAGGTCACCAGCCCACTGTCTAAATCATCTGTCAGTGCGTTCACACGATTCAAAGAGAGCTGTCCTCTCAGGTCTCGGCAAGTGCAGCGGTTCCAACACCGATTTGCTTTTCTTCCGCTGAACACACTCTTCGGGCCAGAGAACAGGGCTGTTACTATAGTAACTTCCAACACACGAGCCTACCGACCACAGGGATAAGACTTCTCCCAGCACTACATCCTACAGCACTGGCTTCCTGCAGGCCTGTGCATGCATCCAGCAACTCCATGGACCCCAGGCTTCCTCACTGTGCCGGGCACAAAGAAGGTGACGGAACAAGAGCAAAGACCTGCGTTTCAGGCCCATGCATTCATCTCTGATCGGGGAAGTGGATCGCTGTACAAATACTCTGAGCTGAACTGCCTTGGAAATGTGGCGAGAACCAAGGAGACAGGAAATAAAGATGAACTTGAGCAGGCTGAACGGCAAAAAGCACCAGGGATGTGCTTATAATAAAAATGTAATAAATATAATATAATAAATATAATAAAAAGAATGAGCAGCATATATATTTTGGCTGTTTATTATGTATCTGGCTAAGGCTTTGGTATTTAAATGTATTATCCCATTATCCCATTTGATCCTCTTGACCTACTGAAGCAGAGCTCATTGATTTTTCCATTGTATGGATGGGGAAACTGAGGCACAGAGCACGAGCTCATCTAGGGTCCCACAGGAAGAGTAGGAGGGCCAGGATTCAAACCCCCATGAAAGGGAAGGCCTCTGCAGTTACTCACAGATGTTCTCTTTACAGCTCCGACCTGAAGATGAAACTGGAAACCACTGACATCAACTCTTCTGTGGGTCTAAGTCCCCTTAGTGAAGCCCCTCCCCTCTACTATCTGCCCTCTTCACCAGCGGGATGTGTTTCTTAAGAAAAAGTAACCCAAACCATCTCCTGAACAGGAAGCCTTACAGGCGTTCCGGACCTCAGTGGAAACAAAATGACCTGACAAATGGCTGGACTGCTCCTCAGGCAGTGGTCAACACTTAAAGTGGGTTCAAGGTTCTCAAACCAGAGGCAGTGAGGTGACGTTTCCTGGCCCAGCCCTGGGCCAGCCACTCCCCAGGGGTCTTGTGTACCATGCTCTTCCCTTTGGGGGCAATACTCCCATCAGCTCTGACGCTTTGGTCCCCCAAACTGTGCCAGCAGACACCTGGGAGAAGCATGAGCTCAGCCCTCAATGCAGGGCAGAATGAAATGTGCACAGCTGAAACCACAGCTCACAGGTTGCAGCAGAGCTGCTACCTTTGCTTCAGTTTTGCCCGTTGTAAAGCAGGGCCCAGACTGGCAGTCAGAGACAGAGAGAAAATAACCACTGTCTGCTGAGAAAAGCCACAGACGTGAAGCTGAACAGTCACTGAAGAGTACATCTGTTTTGGCTTTTATTTTTTAAAGAGACAATGAAGAAGCCCACAGTTGCTTCTGGACAGTGGTAGTGTCACACCAGGAAACACTGAGGGGCCTTTGTTTATGGGAATCCCTTTACCCCTCCTTCCATCCACCCAACTCTGCCCACCTGCCCAGTCCCACCTTCTCCAGGACAATCATTCACATCCAGTACTCAAGGATGATCTGTAAGAGCTTGTCCGGGCCACCTCACCTCTCTGTGCCTCAGTCTCCACATCTGAGAAATGGGGTTCATAGCAGGAATGACCTTCAAGGGATGTTGAGGGGCACATGGGAAATAGAACAAAAGGAAACACTAGTGCCTGGTGCATAGTACACATGTGAATGCTTGAAATTCTTACAAATACAAAAGCTATCCTCTTAGAGACGCAAGGCTTGCTCAGGACCACACAGATGGCGTGTGGCACACCTGGGACTGAAATCCAACATTTTACCACTGGAGACAACTGTCCCAGACGTCGCAGCTTTCTGGGTACCACGTGTCTGAATCTGTGTGGCCTGCAGAGCCTGTGCCCAGGCCCTTGTTCATGTGTTTTGAGCCCTTTGGCCACTGGGCTACTTCCGACCTGGCCAGGAAGCTTCCTGAAGGCAGGATTTGCCTTCTGTTTTAAATTTAGTAAAATTCCGGTGGTGCTGGGCCTGGGGTAGATAATAAATACCTGATCAAGGCAGAAAGTGTACAGAGGACAGCTTCTTAGTAACGCCGTAATGGGAGCTAACAGAGTTGGCGGGGGAAGTGTCTGTCCCCTAGGCCAGAGTCCCTGAGTGCCCTCGGCCTGTCTCAGGTGTTAAAGACTACAAAGCCCCTGGGTGGTGTCCCATCTGGAGGGCACAGTACCTGGATGTCCCGAGACCGCTCGTAGGCCTGGTAGGCCACCTTCTCCTCGGCGCTGGCCAGCTCCTGCTTCAGGTTGGCTGTCTCGTGCTGGTGCAGGTCTGTGAGGTCGTGTAGTTGGTCCTCCAGGCGTTCGTACCTGGACAGAGACAGGAGCCAGATCTGAGTGGGATGTGTTATAGATCCTCACCCCTGGGGTGGAGCGCAGACCATGCCTGGCTCTTCAGCCATGTCAGATGAGTACCTGGGCTGGCTGCAGTGACCACAGGACGGCGCTCAGGCTGGGATCAGTTAGGAGATGGCTTTCCAGGGCCTGCCCAAGGCCAGGACCCACTGCTTTGCTTTGCCCTCTTCTGCCCTCACACATAGTTCCTGGGCCTTCACGGCCAGTGAGCCCCTTAGGAAGGATCAGTGCTGCTAGGATCAGCTTCATTCTGCGGCCAGTTCTGACCCTGCTCAGTGTGCACGCTCAGACACGACATACTTTCCAGCTCTTGGAACTTAGGTGCCAAGAAAAATGTAAACTTTTTACAAACTATACATGGTTTACCAGATGGCATTTCCGAAAGTCCAAATCTAAGATAATACAAAGATTCCTTTTCCTATGCCCTGCCCACACCCCAGAGAAAAGACTTTTGTTTGAGACTCTATAATGTTTACTTTGAACAGGATAGAATGTTTGGGGAAGACGCCTGAGCTTGGGATGACTTTGATCACTGCCAGGTGCAGACGTTTTGTAGGTCATGTGCTAGAGTAATTTTTATAAAAACAAAAATGGTGCTAAGCTCATATAGAAGGGCATTTGTAACTTGGGATAAAAACGCACATCCGAAAAAGGACCATCTCAAACTATATAGATGAATTTAAGGTCAACAACCTTGGGAAACGTCGTGACTCAAAAACAGTTCTCATGTAATGAATATGTCTAAGTCAGAGACGCATATGAGAAAGCTTTAAAAAATTGTCTCAGGGCTGGGGATGGAGCTCAGTAGTACAGCACTTGTCTATTACTTGTGAGACCCTGGGTTCCATCTCTAATACCAAATAATAAATAAACAGAGATTAAAAATGGTTTCATAAAATATGAGTTAAAAGGCCACATTTCTGAATTACTATATCCTATCACAATCAATTACAAAACATAGTATAAGCTAAATTTAAAATGCCACAGTATCCATTTTATCTATCCTTAGAAATTAACATATTCATTTTGATTAAAAATCTTTTGGGGGATATTTTTATCAGGAAAACAGGAATAATCACCTATTTGGACATATGCACTTTTTATTAATAACTTTAAGCTCATAAAAGCTGGTCTACAAACATACTTTAAAAATTAGCTGACATAATCCACAAGATTTGAATTTATACTCTGAATCTGAAGATTACCCTTGAAAGCTCTTTCTTTAGGGTAAAAAATTTAATGATAAAAAACAGTACATAAACTGGGTGTAGTGGTGCAGGCCTATAATCCCAGCATTCTGGAGGCTAAGGCAGGAGGACTGAAAATTTGAGCCCGGCCTGGGCAATTTAAGGACTTGCGAGATTTTGTCAAAGAAAGAGAGAGAGAGGAGAGAGAGAGGAAGGAAGAAAGAAAAGTCAAGTCCATAAAAATACACATATAAAGACTTCAAGACTGCCATACCAAATGAAGCCCACATTGTTATGCACTGAATTAGATTTCTACCTGATCGCTACGATGGAGGGAAATGAAATATAGACCTCTGAGTCAGTGTAAGGAGACTGTAAGAGGGTCCACCAAACCAGCAACTTAACTCACACGTGAGTCAGCCTGCGGTGATGTTTTAGGAGACTTGTGTGTATAATGTCTTTCTCTAATTGTCAGCTATACGCCCCTGTAATAATTTAAGAAATTATGAAGGATGGAAAGAACTACTGACCCCTAAATGCCTTTTGATCTACATCCGTACTTACTGCAAATGCAATCATTAGCACATATTTCCCAGCAAACAATCTCACAGCAGCTACTGTCTCAGGCAACAGAATTCTCTGACACACCTGTATCTCTCCTCCTGCAGGGTCTGAGAAATGAAACCATATTCTCTCTTGAACTGCACCTTCAGCGCCTCGATGTCCTCCGCCAGCTGGGCCTGGGTGTCCTTGATCTCCCGCAGCTCCTCCAGAATCATGGCCAGCTTCCCTTGGCCGCCCAGCGGGCCAGTCCCGCCAGCCCCGAAGGACTGGTTCCCGTTGCTGTCGCCCGAGCCCGATGTGCCGCTCGAACACTCGTCATCGCTGCCGTACTTGGGCTTGTTCACAATGGTGGCGCTGCCCCCGTAGGGCCTGGCACTCGCCTCGGGTCTGAACTCCTCTAAGGAGTTTTTCAAGTGAGCGATGTTGTCAGCGCTGCCGAACTTATTCCGGATCAAGTTGGCAAACTCTCTGGACTTGTTGAAAACAAACACGGGAGGTGTGAGGGAGACCCCTGGCATGCCCGACTTGCTGCTCTCCAGGCCGTGGGGGGCAGTCCGCGACTTCACCTGGGCATCTTTCAGAGAGTGCTGGATGTCCTTCAGGTTGTCTCTGGCCATGTCCTTGGCGCCCCGGGAGGCTCCATTCTGCTCGATCTCCCGCAGCTTCCTGTGATACTGCTCGAGTTTCTTCTGCAGCTGGAGGATGGAGTGCGCGGACTTCTGGTTTTTCTTCTCAAACACCTGCTTGATGCGCCCGGCCTGCTGCTTGTCCGCACTGCTGACGAGCTTCAGATACTCGGCCACGTTCCCATCTCGGGAGGTCTGCTCGATTTTTATCTGCTCTGTCACCTTTAAAATTTTTTGTCTCAGGCTGTCTGCGGTGAGTCTCACCTTGTGGAAGTCCAGGACGCCATCGGGCACATCGAAGTTGAGGTTGGTGTCCGACCCTCCTCGGCGGATGTTCAGGGGCAGGCTTAAGGTATTCATGTCATGACGTTCTACCTGAAAGGGACCGGAAAGAAGCACTTTAACATCTGGAGCCAAACGCACAACCACTGTGACACCCGGCACATGCGCTTTTAGTTCCAGATTTTCAAACCCCGAGAAGGGAGAGAGGGAGGGAGAGGGGAAGGGGGAGAGGGAAGGGATAAAGTCCCAGCAGGCATAGCCATCAACACAATAAGATTATTTTCATAATGGAATCATTAAACAGATGTGACACAGTAATAGGGTGCATGATTAATTTTAATAGTTGAATAACACAACAATGCTGTCTAGACATGGAGACAACTCCAAACCACAACCACAGTGATTTAAAAAAGAAAAGAAAAACAATGATAATAATAAGGCCACATGAAATAGCTTTCTCAGCCAGGGGCCACAGCAGCACGGAGCAGAGTGTGCCCAGAGGAAAGGCCACAGCATGTGCCAGCTTCGGGGGATCCAGGCACAGCTCTGATCTCACGAGCATGGTGGGCGAAGAGGGCATTCCATCTCTAAACAGGTAGGTACTGAGTGCTAAAGAGCCAGGGCCTGAGTCCACATCCTCCCTCCCCACCTCAGGACGCTCTACTCTTCCTGTCCTTTGGGTCTTCGCAGTGCTTGCACACACTTTCCAAACAATGATTCACAGGCCCTAAAGTGAAGCACTGCAGCTGTCCAGTTTGCAGCCCTCTGATTAGAATAGTGCCTTGATATAGGGTTGCCACAGAGACTGAACGGGAGGCAAGACAATATTCAGTACACATTATCTCTTTTTCTAACAGACTCATAGGCTGATAGCACGAAGTTAGCAAGGGATTGACTTACTGGACCTCACAGTGTTGCAGTGACCCGTTTCCAACAATGAGCATTAACACTGCCACATGATAAATCCCGCCCGATGCTTCATCCCACAGAAGGGAGGCCCAGTAACAAGGCAGGACATGATCCCAGGTCACAGGGTCGGGCCTCCTACATGACTTACAAAAATTATTTCTTGGGCCCTCTTCCCACTCTGCCATGAGGGAGAGAACTGGCTGCTTTATCTGGCAGAAGAGCATGACACAGGAAAGGCTGGGAGGAAATAAATGCCCCACCACTGTAAGCCCAGAACTCAGAATGCATGGAGATGGGATGGCGGAAGTGAGTCTGTGCTTGGTCAAGAGGGAAGGATGAGTGTGGGGATAAAGAAGGCTCAGGGTCATCGTCAGGCCCTACAGCGATGGCCTGGTGAAGCTCACGGAAGCTATGTAGCTGTGGCTTATGGTGGACCCAGGAAAGACTGCATGAAACACAGAAAATGTTACTCGGCGCACACAGGATACTTACTGGTAACTACAATCAGTAAGGCTGGAAATTTTTTTTTTGGAACTGGGGATCGAGCTCTGGTCCTTGTGCTTGGGGGGCGGGCAGCAGCACCACTCAGCTAAATTCCCAGCCCTGGAAATTTAATTTTACTGGAGAGGTCAGATCCGACCACTCTTCAGAAGCTTCCTTTACCTCCCAAACGCAAGAGCGGCCAGGCCACTGCAGAGGGCTCGCACCTGAAGGAGACATTTGTCTCCTGGGACCAAAGCACCCGATGTCCCAGAACAGGTGTCTCCCCACAGGAATCACGCTTGTGACATCTGCCACTCACCTACTTCTCATCGAATCCTACACATTCTTTGAAACACAATCAAATGTCCCTTCCTCCACGAAGCTCTTCCTAGTTCCAGTGAATCTTCCTCCTTTCTGGAAGCCTCCTTGTTGCTCTGCCTTTTGCTTGTGACACTACCTGCCACCTCATCACTCATGTGTGGATCTGAACCCCCAGTGCAGTGAAGCAGGGGAAGGATGATGTCACAGCTCTACCCCACTGTGATGCCACATTTCCCATGTCCACAGGAGGTTGTCAATCAACTACAGAGACATCAGTCTCTGTGCCAAGGAGTCCACACCGAAGTCATTTAACAGGATCAAAAAACGACCTCAGATGTTCTGCCGGAAATATCCCAAGAGAAAGTCTCCCAGTACCTACAAAATAAATTTAACATCATTTCTTTTTTGGGGGGTGGGATGGGGTGGAGTTTAAGACAGGGTTTCACTATTCAGTTCAGGCTGGCTTTGAACTATGTAGGCCAGGCTGGCTTCAAACTCATGGTGATCCTCCTGCCTCAGCCTCCCGAGTGCTGGGATTACAGGCATGTGCCACCACACCCAGCTGCGTCATTTCAAATGGATTCAACTAAACTAAGATTTTTCTGAGCATTAATATGTAACAAGTTATACAGATACAAATAAGGGTGTTTAAACTTGAAATATAATTTACACTCAGAAAAAAGTACATGTAAAGGAGCATAAAATGCAAGGAATTCTTACAAACTGAAGACATCCAGTTAAAGAAGCTGGGAGCTACCCTTGGTCCCCCTTTCATTCACAAGTACATCATGCCACCTCCTGGCTTCCAGCCTTGCAGCTCAGATTTACCTGCTGTACACATGCCCCTGCCGCTGTTCAAGAAACCCTGTTTGTGAGTCCATACAAGCTTGTTCTTGTTCAGGAGCCATGGAAGAGATTAAATTATAAAGCAACTGTTTGACATTCTCTGTTGAGAATTCCCCTATCATGTCTGAGGAGAGCAAGGTTTTTATGCACACATCACCAAGCTCAGAAGGAAGTGCCATCTGTGCGGCCTCCCTGAACTCTCCCGAACCAGGCAGCTGTCCAAGCAGGGCGTCTTGGCGTGGTGAACAGCAGTGCAGACAGCCTCGCACACACGGCAGTGTTCTTGCACGGAGGGACGGCCTGCTTCCCTCACTGCACAGCTGTAACCACTCATGGTGGGGCCTTAAGAGTCCAGGTTGGGGAGGAGTGGCAGCCAGAGACCCAGATCGATCAGTCTCAGGGAAAATCACCCGACTGGGGTCTAAAGTCAGAACTCTTTGGTAGGGTGCCCACTATGAGGATAACTGAGAACTAGTATAAATACTGCTGAGTGTCAATAAATCCCGAGCACAGACCGAAAGGATGGGTCTGAGCTAGGCAGAAAGATGTGAGTCCTCTGTGCCCCGTTTAACCTGGACCTGCTCTGACCTGACTCCTGCGAGGGATGGGGTGGCTGGCTTCAGTGTCAGGACCTGGGATGACGAAGGCTCACGATCACCCGGGGTTAGTGCACCCGTGGACCACGAGCTCCAGGAGGCGGGTTCACTGGGGCACAAGCCACACATCCTTGGGGAAACCGAGTTGCATCTGTGGGCTTCTGTACCCTAATCTATAGAATATGGAGATGGACCCGGCGATTCAGAATACTGTGTAATGCCAGCCCTCTTACTGTCTGACAGTACTGCAACAGTCAGGACCATGGGTTCTCCGGAGACAGACTGCTTCGGCTTCCACCATGATACCCCCTTCCCAGCTGCTTTTTTTCTCTGTGGCCTGGTTTCCTCTTCTGAAAATGGACATAACGATTCTTCCATGAGTCCTTGTGAGGAATAAAGGAGACAAGGCATGGAAAGTGCTGCAGGACCTCCTGACGCACAGAATGGCTTCAACAAATGTTTGCTATTGTTAGATGAATTTCATTTTTAAAATGTACCTGTTTGTACAAAAGGAAAACAACCTGCAGAGTGTTAACAATGGTTATGTTTGCACCCTGAGGTTAGAAGAGGTCTTTCTTTCTTATGCTTTTATAGTTTCTAATTAAAAAAAAATGCATTACTGTTTTGGCAAGAAAGATTTTCGTTCTTCAATGACGCTAGCCTCCTCCCAGAATCACCCTGGATGCAAGCAGAGCAGCAGCACCCCGGCAGAGTGGCCTTCCTGACTGCGTTTTCCTATCAGGATCAGAGATGTTTCCCCTGTCACTTCAATGTTCTGGAACAAAGGCGGAGGAAAAGCCCAGTCCCGGACAGACGTCAAAACAGACCCCAAGTCGTCTCTGCAGCGAACACACAGACTCCCAAGGGAGTGTCGCGGCACACTTCGGCGTCACCCTCCAGCCTCCCCGGGAACGAACAGAAAGGGCAGAGCCCAAGGCAGAGACAGCACCGAAGCCCCAGGCCACAGGACTGAAAAGGTGCCGGGGCTCCCGTGGGCCCTGCAATGGCCTGGATGTGGACTGGCCCCTAAAGGTTTGTGAGGCTGCAGCGGTGGGTGGAACCTTTAAGAGGCGTGGCCTATCAGAAGGCGCTTAGGTTACTGGGGCGCCGCCCCCAGGGCAGGATTAAGGCTGGTCTCACCAGAGCGGATCAGTTTCCTCAAGAGCAGGTTGGTGTAGAGCAAGGCCGCCCCACACTCCCAGCCCCCTTCTGCACACAACAAGCAGGCTCCCTTTCGGCTTTTCCGCCATGCTATTTAATCCTCCCAGGTCCTAGAATCATGAGCCAAATGAAGCTCTATGAGTTACTGGGCCTCAGGTATTTTGTGAGAAAATGGACTAAGAGGGGCAGGGGCCGAGGCTCTGGGTGATGGCACAGATGGCAGCTGCCTGCTTGGTCCTGCGGCCAATATGATGACCCTGGGCCTGCAGGAAGGAGGCCTGAGTGTGACACAGAGAGGCTCAGGGAGGGGGATTCACACATGGGCCGCGGGTGCTGAACCTGCCACGATCACTGACACCTTTTCCTGTTCCTCTCTGCTGTCTGGCATTGTCCCCTGGCTCCTAAGACCTGGAGGACGAGCCTGCTCCAAGGAAGACTGTCACGTTAGTGACAGGTGCGGCATCTTAACTGCTCTCTGCGTAGGTGCTGCCTCGGGACTATTTTACAAAGGAGAAAACCAGGCACAGAGAAGTTAGGTAAATGGCCCAGGGACACACAGCTAGCGCAGGGCAGAGCCAGGGTGGAAATCCAGCCTCACTCACCAGGACTGAGTGCTTTAGGATGAGGCAGGCGCTATGCTAAGGACTTTATAGGTGACCGTGTATTTGCCACACCAGGCCTCTCTCACGAGAACACGAGGCTTGGAGAGGACAGCTATGTCTCCTGATGCCCCCGGGGAATTTGCAGTTGGGCTGGAGCTCAGTTGGGATTTATGAA